TATCTAGTGGGCCCAACTGAGTAGGAACCTGAAGACGGAGATAGAGTCTCATCTCCGAAACGTCGTTTTTACGTTTTTTACGTTTTATTACTAGACGATGGATAATATCCAAGTAAATTTTTATTCTAATGATAATTACTATTATGATCTTCAGCCTTTCATTCTCTTCTCTTCATTAAAAAAGGTTAAAATTGTGGAAGTAATTTCCTTTTCTTCACCTTTAATGTGTTCTTTCATTTTTGTCAGCTATATTTTCTGGTCTCAGTATCAAATGCTACTATTTGAGGTTAGAAAGGTGTTCCCATCATGCCATGTGATGTCAGTATATGACCAGTTAGAGCAGAAGTATAAAAACAAATAATGGAGGAGTGTGCTATTTTTGTGGTTTAGTATCGGTAATTTCTTGTAAGCTGAAGTATGTGTAATTCCTGGAAAGGAATAGCTAGAGCAGGATTGAGTCTTCTTCATCTCTAAATGTTCCATTATATGATTTCTAGCCTTAACTGACAGTGCTGAGGACTTACTGCGTAACCGATTTGCTCAGAATAAACTGGAGATAGAGGCATTCAGTTCTCTGCGGTATGTGGGAATCCAAACATTGTCACCACCTACAGACTTCTCAGATTTCCGAGCAGCTGTGCAGAGTGAGCTGGAGAACACGACAGTTCGTTCACCCCGACAGCCACAAGTTGTATTTCATACACTCAAGGTATTATCACCGAATTATCCTTCAGGTCAAGTAACATGAGGATGAGACATGTAGCATGCTTTACCCCCACCATTTCTATATCAAGGCCACCTCACACTTCATTCCTTTGAGTGTGATGTAGAGATTGAATTGACAGTTATTTTCACGATGATTTTCACTCTGATACCGAAACTGCTACCATCTCTTGGGTTTCATGCAAACTTATTAAGTCTAAGTAGGACTTGAGATTAACGCGGTGGTGAGTGAGAAAATGGCCGTCTTCTGGGTTGTAGCACCGTGTGGCCTGGTAGAAGTTTACCAGTGTTTCAGAGGTCCTTGCTGCCTCCATCATAGAACTACAACCCAGAATACTGCCGTCTTATTGAAGTCTGTTTATGAATTATGACACTTTATAATTTCACTGGTTATGCAAAACACAGTAGTATTGTACACTAGGGTTATACTCTACAAAGATTGTCTGATTTGGTGGCTAGACTTCAGATGTTGAGAACTGTGACTTAGTCTTGCGAGATGAGTGCTGAGACTGCAGTTTTGAGTCACAATTTGGCGTCTAGGAAACCCTTGTGCCCGCTCCTTGCACTTTTAGATATTCTGTTCCATTTGATGCCATGATTTCAGTAATAATTCAGAAATTCTACCATTGGATAATGGTTTAGTGACCTTCTAGAACTTTCTTTGGGTTACATGCCTGCCCCCTTGCCAGGCTTTAATTATGAACCTATTTTGAAATTTGTGTTCGAACAGTTGTATATGACTTTTGCATTTTTACACTAATGGGTTGCTGCTTTGTCACAGTCCTGCCATAACCAGTAATGCAAATGTTTAGGGATGCCATGGTCATAACTGTGTATCATGCTTTGGTGATTGAGTGTTGTGCAGTAGTGGTTTGTTATATTTATAATCTGCCATCCCCAGGGTTTTAACTGTGGATCTTCTGACTAAGGGTGATGGTCTTGGATCTGTTATAATTATGATTTTGTTTAATTAACACAATAAGGTAGAATGTGCCAAAAGTTAGTTCTGAATATTTGAAAATTGTGACTGTTTCAATGTGTGCAACAAATTTATTTTGTGGGACATGCCAGATTTAATACCTCTAAATGCACACTGCGAAGAATGCAGGAAGATTTTCTGTGTATTCCAGTATGGAATATACTTTATGAGCTTGTTTTATGTAATTTACTTGTAAATTAATTTCAGTAGATGAAATTATCCTTTGTGGTCTTTTGTTGAGTTACTTTATCTTCCTGTTCATATTTCAGGTTCTAAATGACAAGTTCAATGGGGAATTGGAGAACAGCTCAGTTGTTCTGTTTCCTGACCAGTACTTCACATGTCCAATAAAATGTTCGTCATGTGAGAGGCGCTGTGAAAGTAGTATGGGTCATTTAAAGGACGGACTGCACCATTCTTGTGCTCAGAGATGCCGGTAAAACTAGTGAAGCGTAATACTGATCAGTTATTTTCAGATCGTTAGTTCATTCACCTGTATGTGGACTAATTAAATCAATAACTTGTAGCCGTATTCTTTTTCAATGCATTCAGATCCTTTGGCAGAAATTTTTGGTGTAACTTTTTCACTTTTAAATGTTTGCAGTCGTGTGACACCGGGTGTAGCATTTGTTATTGTGGATTATGTCTGACTTTATGAATGGCTAACGCAGTAGAGTATAAATAGGGAACAGTTTAGTTAACATGTAAAAGAACTGTATGTATAATTTATATTTTGAAATAAGCCACTGATTTCTTAAATATTTTATTGCTAGTGCACCTGACTTGTATTCATAAATAAACTGATTAAAATATTACACAAGAAACAACTATCCTGACAGAATTTTCATGTTTTCCATTTGGGTTTCATAAAAAGCAGATGATTTCTTGTACTTCTTCTCAATAAGGTTTCTGTTCTGTAAAGTTTGTTAAGATCAAAATCACTTATGAGGTGAAAGGAGTGTGCCCAAATACTAAAGATTGTTGTATGCAATTGTTTTCTTCTATTTTGTCCATCACCTACATCATATAATAATAAAATGACAATGTTTTGGAAGCTTAATCC